AGCTTTATAAAAATGCCATATTTGCCAATAATCAAGATGATTACTTCACAATCGTTAATACTCCTAGAGATGAAAAACAACAAATAGAAAAAGAACCAAAAATAATTGACCCAAGCCAAATCAGTGTATCTAGTGAATTGTGTGGCCCTGGTTTTTTTTCTCAGGTTTCCATCGGTAATTACAATGGTAAGAAAGTTGCCTGTAAATGTTATCAATTGAAGAACTTCAAGAGTGACATGTTTTACAATGAAATCGCCAATCTTAAACTATTAAACCCACATCAATCTGTCCCCGAAATCTACGCCATTCTCAAGCTAGACTCTTTCTATTATATTATTATGGAATGGGTCAATGGAACGACCTTAGAAAATTACTTGAATAACAACCCAAACTTTTTATTCTCTGTGCTCCGTAAAATCGTTAAAGCCTTAGCATACATGCATTCCATAGGTGTAACTCACGCTGACATTTCTACTACTAACATTTAGGTATATAATATTTTAGAAAACAAATACCGTATCAAGTTTGTGGACTTTGGTATCAGCCGTAATAATGACCCAAAAGAACAAATCCAATGCAAAGGTAAAAGAGGATGGATCGCAACAGAACTAAATGGCCAAACTCGTGCAGATCTAAATGAAAAAACTGATGTGTACTCTTTTTCCGTTCTTCTCAAAGAGATATTTGCAAGTAATATTCTTTGGGATAGCTTTTTAGGAATTGATTGGTATAAAATATACTCAAAATGCAGTGATACATCCCAATCACAACGTCTAACTTTTGAAAAAATTTTAGGGTATCTCAACTGAGGGCACACACTTTGTGTTTTTTAATAAAAAACTCTAATTTAATTGTTTTAAATTCCATCGAAAAATTTAAATTAAATAAATAAATAAAATGGTAAAATTTTGAATAAATTTTTTTATTTTTTTATTGGTCTTAAAAGTTTTTGGATGCTATGTTGCTCCCTAAAGATTTTTTCTTTTTTTCTTTTTTTAGAGTTGTGGAGCCCGCATGCATCGCACATGGACACTTTAGTTGATACACCCAGCAAATCTACCCAACCATTTCTCCACTCCGGAGTAGTTCTGATTCTACAAGATAGCAGGCCTCTGGTTTTTCAATGGGTGGTCTGCCCTTCTTTCTTTTTTCTGCAACTATTATATTTTCAGGTGCAGGCTTTTTTTATGACTACATTTCTTTTTTATGTTTACCATGTGGCATTTTACTAATAATTTTATAAAAAAAAAATGTGTATTAGTAAATGGAAAAAAACAATTTAAATAATTAAAAATAAAGAATATAATACCAAAATTATACCTATTTAAAATATCAAAAATTGATTTGATTAATATATGAATTGAATATCTTTAATAATAATATTAAATTTGATAAATTCATTCAAAATAATAAAATTAAAAGCAATAAAAAAAAAAAAAAAAAAAATTAATAAAAACAATTTTGGGTAATTCTCAAATATTAAAAGTGTATATTAAAAAAAAAAAAAAAAATCCAACTATTGATTTAATTATCATAATAATAAAAAATTTGGGTTATTGTTGTATTTTATTTTGTTTTTATTTTTTTTTAAATTAAATATGTCAAAAAAAAAAAAACAGCAATATCGATTATGTTTCTGAGTGATAAATATCTGTTGACCCATTAAATTGCCCCTTATTAAAAAAAATCAAATAATTCACATAAAAAAATCAAATAATTCACATAATTCACTTAAAAAAAAAAATCAAAATGGTTCACATAATTCACTTAAAAAAAAAAATTGTTTTTTTTCGAAATTTTTTTTTTTAATTATTTTTAAATCTTTATTTATAAAAAATATGTAATATTAATTGTTACTTTTGATTTTATTGGATTAAATATTAAGTATTATTGTATTGCGCGATATATAAACACCAATTTTTTTTTTTGTAATATAAATTTTCAAATATTTGGGTGAATGAATCTCATTTACTAATAGGCTAAAAAAAATGGAATGAGATAGGGGTCATATTTGTAAAAAAATTAAATCTTGATTTTTAACAAACAATAAACACATTCTAATTTAATGTATATATTATATGAATTTTTAGTAAAAACATATTTTTTTTTGTAAATTATTGCTTGAAAAAATGGCATTTTCAAAACCATCCATCCATTATGGTGAAAGTTAGTGTAATGACTTAACTGGACTAGCTTGATAATCAATGCATTCACCACTTTTTATAACTGTGAATAGATCTGCCCAATCATAATTTTTTTTTTTTGTAAAAACTTGATCGGTTCTAGACTTTTCAACAAAGTATATAATACATAATTGGTTTAAGATTTGATTTTTTGAATTTTAATTTATATTGAATATATTACTTTGAGAATCTGATGGATAATTGGTTTCAAAAATTTATCATTTGATTGTGATATTGTATCAATAGTTGAGTTTAGTTGTTTATTATTAAATTGTTTTATATTTAATGGTAGTTGATTTAGTTCTTGTGTTATTTTGTTGTATTTTTCTTTTGGTTGGTATTTTTATTCAATAATAAAATTGTAAATTTTTATAAGCTATTTGAATTTTTGTGAATATTCAATCTCTTCAATAATATCATATATTGTTATCGATTCTTCAAATAAAAAATGAAATTAATAAATAATACAATGTCTATTCATAATTTTTTTCTTTTCCGCCCTTTTTTTTAAAGAGTTTTTCAATTTTTATAATATGCTACGCTTTTTTTGTCTTTTTAATCCCAAATTATTTAAATACAAATTTTTCATATGATTTATTGACATCCCTTATTTTGAAGAAAATAATAAATGCACTTTAATATTGTATATAAAAATATTTATATAAAAATACCAATAGGTTTTTCCTCCAAATGCTTCAAGTTTGAGAATATCATATTAATTTTAAAACACCTGAAATATTCATAAACTATAATACATAGATCTAAAATTTATTTTATTTATACAAAAATAACTCTCAATAAATAAAAACAAATGAATAAACAAAAAAATAAATAAGTAAAAAAAATTAACAAATTAATCAATAAAAATAAAAATAAAAATAAAAATAAAAATAAAAATTATAATAAAAATAAAAATGAAAAAATAATCAATAGTCATTAACTATATATTTTGTATAGTTTTTTATGTTTATTGAAAATTATAAATTTTGTAAAAAAAAGGAATTTTTTTTGCTTGGCTGAGATCTATTATTAAAAATTTGTTTAATTTTTAGGACTATTGTAAAATTTTTTGATTAATATATTATATTTTTATTTAAAAATAAGTATTTTTAAATTTATACATACTCTTCTTTTTTTGTAATATCCTGGTCGTTATTATTATCAGTTGATGATGGTGATACTAGAATTGTTGGTTTGGGTGGCTTTAGTACTACTTCCTCATCCGGTGCATCAAACAGATCTATTATTGAAAAATTTTCAAGAGTAAGGGGAATTTTATAGTAGTATTTTTTATTTTTATCGCAATAGCAAATGTCATAATCAGTTACATAAATGGTTTTAGTGACTACTTCATCAACAAAAACTTCATAATATGGCTTATCTGGACTGAATTTTGGAAGATTATCGTTTTCATTACTCTTTTCCTTTTTTCTTTTCAATGATCTTGTTTTTGGAAAAAAAAAACTATCACTTTCAATTTCTAAATCATCATCGATTTCAGACTCTTCTAACCAGAATTTATTTGATTTTTTATTTTTAATTTCTAAATCATCATCGAGTTCAGACTCTTCTAACCAGAATTTATTTGATTTTTTATTTTCTTTTATTTTTAATAATTGTTTATTTTTCATTTTAAAAATTATTTTATTAGTATTATTAAAAATTAATAAAAAAGAGAAATAATTATTATATTAATAGAAATAATTTATTTAGTGATAATGATATAATAGTTTTTTAAATTATAACAATAAAAAAATAAAAATTAATGTATAAGTGCATTAGCTTTATTTATGAGAGAAATTACAAAATGAATAATATAAAAATTAGTGGTAGAGGGTGTGAATCAAGTTTTTTATTTTTATTGTTTTGTGTTTTAATATAAAAAATAATATGAACTTAAACACATTTGTGGGTAGAGGGGGTAAATATATGGAATTGTACATAAAAAATGAATAAATTATTTTAAAAAAATTATTTTTGATTGATTATAAATTTTATACAAATTTCAATATGATATAAAAAAATAATAAGATAAAAAAAAAAAAAAAATTTTACCTAAATTTTTAAGTTTAATACGATATAAGAAATTGGTATTTTAGGCAACATACTCCCCATTTTACAAAAAATATATTTTTAAATTATAACATGTTCATATTAATTTATATGTAAAATAAAACTATGTGATTGTTTATTGTTCAAGAAAAAAAAAGTGATATGGAGAATGTTGTTATCTTTTTCAAAATAATAGAAAAAAAAAAATTATTAATAAAATATTTTCAAAACAATAGAAAAAAAAAAATTATTAATAAAATATTTTTTTCTTTAAAAAAACAAGCTTTTTTTAATATGGGTTCAGTGAGTGTGTATTTTGATAAAAATTATATTTTTTTATACGAGCAAATAGTATCAGTATAAAATAAAAAAAAATTTATTCAAACACACTTATCCGCTTTTTTTTTATCTTAATTTGATTGTTAATAAATGAAACAATATACAACGTTGTATCTTCATTCATTATAAATTTTTTCTTAATTTCCTTTTAATATTTGAAAAAATAAATAATGTTCTATTTTTTAAATTGTTCTATTTTTAACACTTAATACTCAACAAAATTCAATAGAAGCAATTAATAGAACAAATTGAACATCTTCTTAGCAAGATAGCATTTATCACAGTGTGTATGTATATTTTACCTATTTCTATTTGAAATGCCAATGTTAAATTAATAGATAATAACCAATATAATATCATTAATTTTGATAGTGAGTGTGTTGAGTGGGAAAGGTAGAGTGTTATCAAAACATTTTTGTGTTAAATGTGTGAAATTTTAACCACACATATACAAGTTTTTTATTTGTGTTAATTATTTGAATTTTGTTAAATAACCACACAAACATTCTCACTCTTTCAAAATAAATTTGTTTTTTTTTTTATTAAAATAAATTGTATATACTAATTTGGATTCCAATAATTAACTTTTCCCCATTAATAAATTTTGTGTTGTTGTATTTTTAAAAAAAATTAAGTTCAAAAAAAAAAAACTTAATTTTAAAAAAAATTTTGTTAAATTGAAAAAGATCAAGATCCATATGTTTTTTTTTAAAATTTGAAAAAAAAAATTAAATTGTATTTATATATGGCAATGGCAATTTATAGCATCACCTTAATTGTCAATTCAAACAATTAAAAATTATAATTTATTATTATTAAGTCACTTAATCCTGATAGAGTAATTACATGTAAATCATAATTTAAATTAAAAAATTAATATTTTTAAAAAGTAATAATGGAGTTGGTAATATTTTTAATACCCTACTCTATGCTTTTAATTATTAATTTTTTTTAATTACCTATCCCCCACTTCACACAATTAAATATTTTTTTTTTCTTTCCCCCACCAAACACAAATGTATTTGGTGATTGTTAACAATTAACATTAAGTATCACCATGTGTGTTGTTTGAAGCAAGTAAAAGATATATTGAGATTAGTGTTTTTATTTCTATTTTTTTTTTTTTTTATTAAAAAATTTTGAAATTATAAATTATTAAAAAAAAAAAAAAAATATATACAAAAAAAATTAAAATTAAAAATATAAAAAATAATAGTTTTATTAATAAATATTTATTAAAAATTGCAAAAATGAGTAATCTCACTCTATCTATCAGAAAGGCCATTTTAAAAAGAATTTTCCGTCTGTGTAATCTTTATTTTACTGAAAATAATAATCTAATTGGGTCTCTCTATTTCTTACAGTATTATAGAAGTTTTAATGTAAAAATAACCGATACAAATGAACATGATATTTTTTTAAAGCTAATCCACTTTTCTTCTCAAGTTACAAAGATTACCATTGATTCAATTTCCGAAACTCCCTCTATTTTTGATTATTACTCGCCCTCAATCATAAGACCGAATCTTACCTCTTTGAAATTCGCCGATATGGAGTATAACGTTCCAATTAAATCAAGAATGATCCCATGTACTTTAAGAGAACTTACTTTGCCAACAGATTATAATCATCCACTTCATGAAGTCCATCTTTCAAACAATTGCCCTTATTACATTCCAGTTTTTCCCGTATATGGATTGACTAAATTGTACATTACCAACTCTTTTAATCAACCAATTCTTCCAAACGTACTTCCAAGAACTTTAAGAGAACTAAAAATTGGTGTTTCCTTCACCCAAAAATTGTATTTCGAAAGTATTCCAAACTCTGTTACTTTTCTTAATCTTAACTGCCCAAATTATAATCATCAGCTTGTTCCAAGAATCCTTCCAAGAAATTTAAAAAAGCTAAAGATGTGTAATAATGTTCCGTTATTACCTGGATCTTTACCAGATTCTATTACTTATCTCAAACTAGGCGGCCACTTTAACCATCCTATTACTCCTAATCTTTTACCAAAAAGTCTTCAAAAAATTTCCTTTGGTCCAAGTTTCAACAGTAACTTTGTTCCACCTGAAAATGTCCATACAATCATTTTTGGCGAAGCAATGACTTGTGAACCACAAAACTTTACAAACAATGTCAGATGTGTAGTAGTCAACAACTCCCATTATTCAGAATTACCAAATACTATTAATGAACTTATCATTAATGCCGAAAAAAAAAGACATAAAAGATTTCCAGTGAATCTCAATTATTTAGAACTAATTTGTCCAAATCCTTTCGAATTTAGAAATGATGAGTTACAACCACTCACTCGTCTAAAGCATCTTAGACTTCTTGATGCTTATATAAGAATTAATGTTGCCCAAATACCAATATCCATAGTATCGCTCGACCTTGAATGTATAGACACAGATGATCCTCTAGAAAATCTAGACCTAAGCCCATTGGTAAATCTTCAACTCTTTAGTTTAGGTGATGTACATCCCGTAAATGCTACATTTCCACCATCACTTCGTGCAATCAAATTTTATGGTACTCAACAAGAAGTGTTTGCAAATAATTATTTTCCAGCAACCCTTGAAATCCTTCAACTATCAAGATATCATGTCCAGCCTCTATCAAACACATGGCTTCCATCGTCATTGAAAATCCTTATCCATCCTGGTGAACCTGTTATTGCTGAAGATTATAGACATCCAAATCTCATGAAATTTTATATTAGTTATAGAAATAGATCGGTAATTAGAGACTCTGATTTTATTAATGCTAATTATAGAATTATGGATACATATAAAACTAAACATGGCGTAATCATTGAAGACCTTTTAAATTTTGATCTACCATTCCAAAGAAAGGATAGATATAGTAATAGATTTTATATGGCAAATAACTAAACTAAAACAAATAAAAACTTTTTTAATTTTAAAATAAAAATATTGTATGTGTAAATATATATGAGTATTGTATAAATGTCTAAACGAATATGAATAATAAAAAAGCCCAAGTATTTTTTAAAATCTAAAAATATTGTTTATATATTTTTTAATTTTTTTTATTTTTTATTTTCTTTTAATATAAAAAATCAATTTAAAAAAAATAAATGGCTGGTATTTTGTATGTTAATGATGAAAGTAGTATACATACATTTCTATTGATTCTTTATAAAAGCAATTTTTAATAAATAATGGTAATAGTTTCCCAACCAAATTTAGTTAAAATAAAAAAGTTATTATAATTATAAAATTAATAAATATTTTGCAAGTTTAAGAAGAAAAAAATTGAATTAATAATAATAATAATATAATAATAATTTTATAATAATAATAAAAAATTAAATTCATTATTAAATTTTATTTATTTTCTACATTTTAATTTAACTATAAAAATCCAAATTTTTAAAAATCAAATTCCAAAATTTAATTTTTTCTCATGTAATATAATAATAAAAAATAATATAATTTATTTTTGTAAATATATTATTTTTTATTTATATTTAATGATGTATATATTTTGTAGAGAATTATTTTTTGTGTTTATATGTGTTTAAATTATTTAATTATTAGAATAAAAAAAAATAAAAAAAAATTCTTATTTTTTGGTCATTTTTTATTTTTATATTTGTGTGTGTAAATATTCTAATTGAGATAATTATATTATATATATTATATAGTTTTGTAGATAATAATAGTTTTAATTTATTTATACTAAAATTAAATTTAAACAAATGTATATAATATTAATTTTTTTAATCAAAATGAAAAAAAAAAAAATAAATAAAAAAATAAAAAAAAAAAAAAATAAAAAACCAATTTAGATAGAAACTCTTCATTTATTATTTTTTTAATATCATTCCATTATTTAATTATATATATATATCTTATAATTTTTTACTCAAGAGGTTTTATTTAAAATTAAAATGGTCAATTTTTTAAAATAAAAAAAAATTGAAAAAAAAATATAAATATATATCAAAATAGTAAAAATGGTTGTAGGTTTAACAAATTTTATTTTTATTAAATTTTTAAAATATTTTTTTAGAAAATATTATTTTTTTTTATTATTTTATTTCGGTTTTTTTTTTAAAATTTTTTTTTTAAAATTATAATTATTATAATTATCAACAAATTTATAAAATGAACACTTTCAATAAAAGAAAAGCAATGAATGAATTAAATCAAAGTCGGGGAAAATTGTAACTGAAGAACTCTCTTTGGTTGATAGTGATACGTACGCAAGACCTGAAAATTGTAACTGAAGAACTCTTTTTGGTTGATAGTGATACGTATGCAAGACTTGAAAATAAATATTATGGAATATCATTAGAAGAGGTAATTAGTTTGTTTTTCAATAAAAAATTTGTAAATAGTTTTTTGGAGCTAACAAATCTCAATTTAAGTAAAATCAACTCAGAAAAAGAAGAGATTTATAAAAGAGAATTTGAAGGAGGTTCCAAAAAGTATAAATTTAAGCCTATTTCAAGGATTACCAAAGAAGAGCTTTTTGAATATTGGTCTATTACCTTAATGTTAGATTTGGGTGTTTTTAAAACAATTATGCAAATTATAAACCATAGTAATACAAAAATGAAAAGAAACAGATTTTTTTTGGTTCAATCAACAACCAAATTTACAGATGACCAAATTAAAAGAATTGCAGGTGAAATGAGTGATATTAGTTATGATTTGATAGAAGGAATTAAAGTTTGCACCCTTGACGAAACTATATATAAATATATCCTAAATTCAGATTCAAAAGAGAAATATATTCAAGATAATAATAAATCTCCAATTATGTGTATACCTCGTAAACCTCATGCAAATGGTCTTTTAAGTTATATGGTTGGTACCTTTTTAGAACGTATTCATCATTTGTCATCCCCTGAAAAAAGCCCAGAATCATCACCAAAAAGAGGTTCTTTTAAAGAATTCAAATATCCATATATTATAGAGTTTTTAAACAAGTTAGATAATGAAATAAATCCCTCAAGTAGTGTTGATCACGTATTAGGAACGTATAAAGATTTTAAATTTCATTTAGTTGGCGATAGTGCATTTTTTTTCAAAGATAATTTAAATCATATAGTAAATAAAGGTTGGCAACAATTTCAGATTCCTCAAGTAGCAACATTAACACATTGCTCAAAGATACATTAAAAGATGATAAAAATTGGATTGCAATTGAATTTGATGGTTATTATAAAGTCTGTAAAATTGATGAAAGAGACGAAAAAGTTCCTACATTTAAATCAATTGCAACAACTGATTTTAAAACTCAAAATCGTGAAGTTAATCCAAGTAAAGGTTATAATATTAGTGATGCAGTGGATCTTTATAAATTAAATGATTCAACTTTAAAGAAATTATGTTTAGGTTTAGGTGTTTCAAGATCAAGTAGTAATAGGAGAATGGTTATATCAATTTGTGGTATAGATCCATTATCTCATTCAACCAACCCCAATCGTACTCATTATTATCAGAAGCAATTCAAAAAGATACTTTAAAATCATATTCATTGGTTAAACTCAAAAACTTGCATCAAGATTTTAATTTACCAGCTCCTGCCCAGTTAACATGTGAAGGTTACATTTTAGCTCTTACCAGACTTTATGAAAATGAAAACTTTTAAAAGACCTTTCCCAATCTCTAAGAATGTCTCCTCCATTAGTATCAGATTTTTATAAAAAATGGTTCAATGTAATAGATATTCACAACAGATATCTATATTCAGGTGGTATTCATGGATATGCTAAAAATTGGAGAATATTTGCTGTTTCATGTTTAATCAAGTCTTATATCATCAATATCTATTCATTTTATATGTCAATTACATCAAAACACATGAAGTTTGAAGAATTTAAACAAATTTTCATACACAGCATCAGAGAAGTTAATTTAGTCCCAAAAAGTCCATCCTCAAATCAAAATCAAAATCAAAATCAAAATTAATTTTTTTATTTATCCAGAAGTCCTGTATTTTAACTATTCACCATCTTTTTCAAGCTCAATCATATATATATAAATACGTTCTACATTCTCATATTTATATAATTGATAAAATATTTTAAATAAAGATATTACAAACAAAACATTGTCTTTTCTTATTTTTTTTTTTTTTTTTTTTGGTTTTTTTTTTTTTTTTTTTTTTTAATTTTTATATATTTTTTTTTTAATTTATATTTCATGTTCATCTTTATATAATAAATAATTATAAATTAAATCATATTTCTCATGTATAATAAAAATAATAAATGAAATATTTACAAACAATAAAAGATTTGATTATAATTTTTTCTATTTTTTTAATTTTATTTTTTTAAATTGATCAAAAAAAATACACCTGATACACAAATTAACACAACAAATAATTTTCTACAAAACCATATATAAATTATGAAACAAAAATAAAAAATAATATATTTACAAATATAAAATGTTATACATATGAAAAAAAGCCAAAAAATGAAATTTTGGAATTTGATTTTTAAAAATTTGGATTTTTATAGTTTAATGTTATAATTTTTTTATTTGTAGTTTAGAAATTTATTAGTTATTGACTAAAAAACCAATTGATAATTTTTTGTTTGGATTGTCAATACTATTGGATGGAATATTTGTGCTAAAGACTCTGTTATTATTCATATTATTATTATTATTATTCATATTATTATTATTATTATTTAAATTAAAATTTATATTATGAGTGGTATTATTGAATGAATAATTAGAGTTGTTATTATTATTCATATTATTCATATTATTCATATTATTCATATTATCATTATCATTGATAATAACATTATTGAATAAACAAACATTATTGTTGGATTGAATTGGAGTTCCTGTAGCTCTCTTCTTTGCTGCGGCAGTGGCAGGAGTAGTAGTAGTAGTAGTAGTGGCGGTGGTAGCAGTAGTATCATCATTATTTAAAAAAGCACTTGTTCCATCTTGATTTCTTTTTTTGTTAAGAAGAAACTCTAAAGAATAGGATTTTAGAACTCTTCTTCTTTTGATTAAAAGATCTCTCAATTTGGATTCTGAGATGGTGTCAATAGTGAAAGCTCTATGATTAAAAGCTTTAACACTTTTTGGTATATTTTCATCTTCTGTAACCATATGATTGCTAATATCGTAAAAATCTTCATCAATTAAACCATTACCATTGGAAGCTTGTGTTTTTTTCATGCCGTAACTTTTAGACAAGAACCATATTCGGATCTTTTCTATGGTAACACCATAGATTAATGCAAAGTATAAAATATTCTCTTCGGTGGGATATCGATAATTGTGGAAGAAAAAGTTTAACTCGTTGGTATTTTTAGAAAACTTTGGGACAAAGAAATCTTTGTAGGATGTGTTGTTAGATCTCTTTAAGCTTTCTCTTTTGTGTTTGTACCATGTAACGACTTGAGTGTGGGTTAAACCTAATTGGAAGGCGATGATGTCTTTCTCGATGGAGTCTGGGGAATGGGTTTTTATCGAAGCAATACTCTAATACTGATCTTGCCTTTTTGACGATGGAGTTTGGACTGGAGGCTTTTTCAGCATTGACAGCGTTAGTATTAATAACATCATCGGTAGCATTGGCCTTATTTGCTCTTTTATTCATCTTTTTATTGATTTTTTTTAAAATATATAATTTAATTATTAATACACTGCAATAAAAAAAAATTAAATTAAATTTTGGGTTATTACAGTTATAAATTAACAAGTTTACTAGTACTTTGATACAAAAAAATAAAATATTGTTTTTTTTTTTTTTTTTTGTGATGAAAAAAAAATTTTAAAAAAAAAAAAAAATATTTCCAATTTTTTTTTTTTGAAGATATTTTGTGAAACAATTTTTTAAAAAAAAAATCCACAGCAATACACCAATATATTAAAATGAACAAAATAAAAAAAAAAATAAAAAATTTTTTTTATTTTTTTTTTAATTTTTTTTTTAATTTTTTTTGATTATTATTTTAATTATTATAATATTGCCCTTGTTCGGGAATTGATTGAACATAAAACCGATTATTACAAAGACTTTACATCTAGGCTCACCCAAAGAATTATCATGTTCTATTTCGATCACGCATTCTATAATTAAAGAGTTATGTATAGGTAAACAATAAATAATCATCAAGAAAAAGATAGAGGTTATTTGGCATTTAATAATTTAGAGAATATCCTTATTCATATTTTGGATTTAGTAGTGTTAAAAAAAAATAATAATTTAAATTAAACCTTTACTATATTTAAGGAATTAAAATATTATCAATGTAAAAGAAATGATGTTAAACCATTATTAACAACAACAATGTATTTGAATTTTTCTATTTTTTTATTATAAAATTATAAATGAAGATTTTTTTTTTTTTTTTTTTTGTTTTTAATTAGATATACTTTAGATTTTATTATTATTATAAAAAAACTTTTTTTTAAAAAAAAATTTTAAAAAAAAAAAAAAAAATTTTCTCTCTTTGTTTTTTTGTAATTTTTTTTCAAAAAGTGGTGGTGATTTAAATCGCGCTGTTTTTTTAATGCGGTCTTTTTATAAAAATATTTTTTTTTTTAAAAAATTAAAATAATAATTTAAAAATAGGGTATTTGGAGGGGATGCTGATGAATTTTTTATATGATAAGATTTTTATAAACAATTTTAAAATCTATTTTTTTTTTAATTGGTTTGATAAATAATTTTTTTCTTCAAAAAATAGGACACGTTAAATTTATTTATTTTATTCGTTTATTTTTTTTTTATTTTTCAATTTTTTTTTATTTTTTTTTTTTTAATAATATTTTTTTTAAGTAAAAAAATTTTATCACAAAAAGTTGCATGCAAAATTTATTGATCATTTTATTATGCAATATTTTTTCTCTTTCTAAAATAGAAAAAATTAAATTTATTTTGAAAAAAATAAAAAAAGATATTTCAAAATATGCAATTTTTTTTTTTGAAATTGCGCAATAGTTTTTTTTTTTTTTTGAAATTACACAATATTAAATTTTTTTTTTGAAATTGCACAATATTAATTTTTTTTTCATTTTTTTTTTTTTTTTTTTTTTTTTTTTTACAACCCAGCCCACATTTTATTTAAATTATATTTCCAATATTATATTTATTTTAATTATTTATTTCAAAAAATAATCAGATAATAATAAATAATGAAAGTATAAATAAAATAATAATAACAGCGATAATAGCAGTAATAAACAATAGTATGGGGTTATTCCTTGTGACCTTTTGTTTTGACTATGATTATGGAACTGATGTTTTAAAGATTTAAAATAACACAATCAGTATTGATCAAAGTGCAAACTATTTATAAGATCAGTAATGATATCCATCACAAACTACTTACAGACTACCTTTAAACATTCTTTTAAAAAGAAGCAGATTCTAGCCTTTTAAACAAAAAACAGATACAGATATAGAGTACCATAATTCAATCGTACTGATTGTAGTGTTTAAATAATATAAGATAATGCAATAATCAAATCAATTATGATAATCTTGGAAATGGTATTCAGTCAATGAAAACATATGGAAATTTTAATTGAAAATATAATATAATAATAGTAATAATAATAATAATAATAATATCATAATAACAATTACAGAAATAACAACAATAGCAAAAAAAATGTTCTCATGAGTAGGCTTTTGTTTAACAATGAATAGCAACACAGTGTATAGCAAAGATTCAAGAGATACTGTTAACGATTGATCAAATAAAAAGGTTAGTGAATGGTTAACATCATTAAAATTTCCCATAGAAATCATTTCAACTCTCGAAGTTTGTGTAATAGATGGAGGAACATTAGTTTTTATTTCTCACAGTTTACCAAATGATGTTTAATTAATTTCCTTAGGTATGAATGCTATGGGCAAAAGATTAAAATTTAAAACCTTTTTAGAAAAGTTATTAGCTTCAAAATAAAGTCAATATCAACCTTTAGGTTATAGTAACAACAATAATAAAATAAAAATAAAATATTTTTAGTTGATAATTTTAAAATATATTCAAATCAAATTTGTTTTTATTTATTTGTTAAAAATAATAAAAAATAAAAAGAAATAGTTATTATTTGTTTTTATTTATTTGTTTTTATGTTATTATTTATTTGTATTATTAATTTTGTTCTATTTTTTTTGTTTCTATTTTGGTGAAAGAGATAACATTAACACAAAAATTTATTACCCCTACAACAAAGCAACGTTCTCCATATTACTTTTTTTATTAACAAATAACCAATCACATAATTTTTCAAACACCTTTTCAATATTATAATAGTAATAACCTAATATTAATTTCATATAAAAACATAAATATTAATATTAAATAAAAAATTTAAAATTAAGTTCATTTTTTAAATTTTATTTAATTTTTATTTTTTTATTTTTTATTTTTTTTTAAAAAATGATTTAAACTTGTTTCATTATAATTATTATTCATTCATTAATTCAAAAAAAAAAAACATGGAAAATTTAAAAGAAAAAAATTGTAATAATTTAGATGTTAGAAAGGAAGGTGCACCTTCAGATAAAATTTGGTGAGTAAAATTAATTATATATGTATATAATATTTTTTTATTTTTTACTAATTTCAAATATATCTAATTAATTTAATAGTAAGAGATGTAAAACTACCTCAACTGTATGGACAATGGGCCCCGAGTAAGTTTAACATTATTGATTTATTGTTTACAAAAATATTAATATTTTTTTTCTCTAATTTAGCGACTGTTTTTTATGTAATGGTTGCGGGCAACAGTACCAAATTCTGACAAATATTTTCAATATATACAAGGGTGATATTAGATACCTCGTGTATATAGACCCATTACCATTTATAACATCGACTTTCATGGCTGGGACATCTCTTTCAATTTTCGAATTAGAATTAGTCATAAGCGCTTTTCCCGGTATTATCAAAGATCAAGATAACATATTTTCTTTTGAAAATACAGGGTTGCTTTTTATAACCGATGGAAATATGTTTACAGTAAAAAAATATGAAAAAGAATCTTTAAAATAATTAAAAACTAATGCTAACTAAATAAAATTTTTATATTTTTTTTTATAAAAACTTAATTTTTTCTAACCAATTTGTTTTATTTCAAAATTATTGAGCAGAACTAAATAAACACAAGTAGTGTAGTGATTTATACACATTGAACAATAAAAATTATGTTTTTAATTTACAATTGAAGTGTATGTCCTTCTAAAAGATAATAAAGAAAAATGAATTAATAATTAAACTTAAAATTATATATCTTTTATTTTTTTTTAATATGAGGAAAACTGTATATTATTGTTGTTCAAATTTTTTAGATGGTAATAAAAACTGTTTTTAATTTACATGATATAAAATTACTATGTATTTGTTTTTTTTTCAGTGAGTGTGAGAGCATATATGTGGGGGATAAAAGATTGTTTGTATTTATTTGTATGTGTTTGTGAGTGGGGTTTTTTTCAATTATTTAAAATAGGGATATAAACTTAAAAATAATTAATAATTTTGTTAATTTTTTCTAAATCTCAATGTATGTGATTTATTAATAATATTGTTAATTGTTTTTTTATCCTTAAATTATATTAAATCTAATAATACAATAATATTAAACCTCTTAAAATTTATTTTTTATCATCAAGTTTTTTTTAAAAAAGTTTTTTTTTTTAATTCACACACACATACACCCATATAAAAACTTAATCTTTGAAAATACCCCCTTCCAAATGTGTTTCAATTATAATAGATAAACCTTTTCAAAAAATAAAAAAAAAAATTTAATTTGTTTTTTTAAATTTCATTTTTATTTAATTATTTGGATAATAATAGAATTTTAAACTTCATAAGATTTATATTCATATTAAATAATAATAAATTAACATGAATCCGAATTGTAATCAAGTTTTAAAAGAAGATAAAGAAGTAATATGTGATAACAAAACAGTGATCAAATACACATTAGAAAACCCATCCCAGAATCTAGAATACAAATTAAAGGTCTCTTATATTATGAATGAACCAACTGCCCCTCCTCATTTGTTTGGTGGAATTTTTTCATCCTTTGGAGTAGAAAAAAATACAAACATAAAATATTACAACTATATGGAATATTTAATGATAGAAGATAAACCAACTATTAAAAATAACCAAAAAGGAGTAAAAAACAATAGTAATCAAAAAAATATTAATAATCAAACAAATAATAATTTAAATATTGTCTATAATCATTTTAATAATTTTAATTTGAATAATAATATGGGTAATAATGACAACAATAATAACTACTGCACAAATATAACTGCTACAACTATAATAAAGCAACCAAATATCAACAAATTCACTTAAAGAATTTCAAATAATATGATTTGTGTATTATAAAATGAATACTTATAAATCAAATGTACCCAACATATCTTTAACAATGAATTCATTTCTTAATATACATAATCATATTATAAACCATCATTTAATAATATTTTAATATTAAAGATGGTGGTAATAATAAATATCAGTTTGAAGTATATGGCCAACCATTTGAAATTCTTATTAAATAAATTTTAATTTTTGCTACTTTTTACATCTATTTTTCATAAAACCTTTATTTTTTTTA